TTCTTGCTAGGTGAATCATCGGCTTGCCTAAAAATGTAAATATTCAGTCATATCAACTCCTCTACAGCGCGAGTGGCTGAGAAAATATGGACATAAGGGAGTGGTAATCGATGATACGTTCTCGATCACAAAATACGACCTGCGTCTGGCCACCCTGCTAGTGTTGGACGAGTTCGATCGTGGGCTTCCCGTTGTCTATCTTCTCTCGGCACAGATGCGTACCTCAGATGTAGCTGAACTCTTTGAAGTCGTGAAGTTAGTGGCTTTTCGCGTTGTAATTCGGGCTTAGACGTATCGACCCAGACTTCAAACCAGCATTCCTAATGTCTGATGACGATGGAGTCTTCTGGAGTGCCTATTGCCAAATATTTCCTCTAAACATCACGCGCAAGCTTTTGTGCAAGTGGCACAACCTGCAAACTTTGCTCAGAGCCATGCTCCGCCTCATCAAGAACGTAATTACCTAAACTTTTCCTAATGAGTTCCTTAGAAAGAGCTCGTCGATCAGCTTATGAAAGACTTTCGGCTCCTCTTGAATCTAAGCAACCTCGAGGCGTTCAATGCACAACTTGGACGTGTCATGAAAACGTTGGAAGAAAACGGCGAAACCGATTTCCTAGAATACTATCAAGTAAGAGCAAAAATAAACCAACTAGCTTTTCAGAAAAAACATCTGGCTCGCAAGGAACAATGGGCTGCTTGGGCAAGGCTACGTGCCCCTTTCGCGACCTCCATGGCCGCCGAATCGTGGCATCGTCGTCTGAAACGTGATAATATTTATGGGACGAAGCAAGGAAGGGTGGATTCCCTGGTCGAGCGTCTGATTTCGCATCCTAAGCAGTACCTCGCCCAGCTTTGTGTCACCGATGCACGCAACTTGCATCCAACTAAGCGAATCCACGAAAATTCGAAGCGACACGACGACGCGATCAAGCTGTACTTCGCCGCAAACTGCCAAGTCTTGTATCACGATACGTGGAATGTTCAGTCAAAGACATCGGAGATGAAATACACCGTCATCAAAATGTTCCAGTGTGAATGTCCCGTAAGCAGAGTTTCTAAACTTAACGTTTTTAGACGAAAAACTTACATTGTAAGCGGTGCCACGCCTGCCCCTACTCTTATATTTGCGATTGCCCGAGCTCCACTATGCCCGGCGTCAGCTGCGTGCACATCCACGTTCTTCATCACTTCGGTAGTTAAACTTCTTCCTTTCCACCGCGTAGTACATAGGCTTCATCAACGAAACCGGTCGAGACACCATCAACAACAACCAAGCGATCGATTTTCCGGACGCCGATCTGATTTCTCAACCTCAAGTAGCCGAAATTGAAAACAAAGAGCAAGCACTCAAGCTGAAAAAAGATCATTTGCGAAATGTAAATAACAACTTAATAAAATGTCAACTGTTTAGACGCTGAATGCCCTTTGGTATGCAGCAGGCAACTCCAAGGATGAGGCGCTGATCGACGAGCTACAGGCAAAGTATGACCAAGATCTGCAAAAGCTGACAGAAGGCAAACAAACAAAACTTGCCACAAATCCACACAAGCCAGCACCGATTAGACAGGCGTCCCAGAAATACCAAATGGAATCAAAGGCAGCAACGAAGAAAGCCAAAGCCTCACGCAAGCTAGAACCTTAAGGTTCATCGCAGATTGTTAAAGCTAAATGTTGTTATTGTTGTTATAATAAATTGTTACTCTCCAAATATTCGACATCTTCCTCATTTTCAGTTCATAAGACAAATAGAGTTGAAACGCTTGGGCAAACCGAACACGCAACATAATTTCGTTGGGGCGGGCGCCACCCTGCGGGATCAAGGGGCCTACCGTAACCCCCCGGGGCGCGCCATAGCGGTACCGGGGCAGACGTGTGTAGAAATGGGGACCCGTCTGCGGCGCTAGCTTGAGCGGCTGGCTTCGTTCTAAAGCCTGCGGCGCTAGCTTGAGCGGCTGGCTTCGTTCTAAAGCCTGCGGCGCCAGCTTGAGCGGCTGGCTTCGTTCTAAAGCCTGCGGCGCTAGCTTGAGCGGCTGGCTTCGTTCTAAAGCCTGCGGCGCTAGCTTGAGCGGCTTGCTTCGTTCTAAAGCCTGCGGCGCTAGCTTGAGCGGCTTGCTTCGTTCTAAAGCCTGCGGCGCCAGCTTGAGCGGCTGGCTTCGTTCTAAAGCCTGCGGCGCTAGCTTGAGCGGCTTGCTTCGTTCTAAAGCCTGCGGCGCCAGCTTGAGCGGCTGGCTTCGTTCTAAAGCCTGCGGCGCTAGCTTGAGCGGCTGGCTTCGTTCTAAAGCCTGCGGCGCCAGCTTGAGCGGCTGGCTTCGTTCTAAAGCCTGCGGCGCTAGCTTGAGCGGCTGGCTTCGTTCTAAAGCCTGCGGCGCTAGCTTGAGCGGGCTTGCTTCGTTCTAAAAGCCTGCGGCGCTAGCTTGAGCGGCTTGCTTCGTTCTAAAGCCTGCGGCGCCAGCTTGAGCGGCTGGCTTCGTTCTAAAGCCTGCGGCGCTATCTTGAGCGACTGGCTTCGTTCTAAAGCCTGCGGCGCTAGCTTGTGAGGTTAGCTTCATACTTAAGCCTGCGGCGCTAGCTTGAGCGGCTAGCTTCGTTCTAAAGCCTGCGGAGCTAGCTTGAGCGGCTAGCTTCGTTCTAAAGCCTGCGACGCTAGCTTGAGCGGCTAGCTTCGTTCTAAAGCCTGCGGAGCTAGCTTGAGCGGCTAGCTTCGTTCTAAAGCCTGCGGCGCTAGCTTGAGCGGCTAGCTTCGTTCTAAAGCCTGCGACGCTAGCTTGAGCGGCTAGCTTCGTTCTAAAGCCTGCGGAGCTAGCTTGAGCGGCTAGCTTCGTTCTAAAAGCCTGCGGCGCTAAGCTTGAGCGGCTAGCTTCGTTCTAAAGCCTGCGACGCTAGCTTGAGCGGCTAGCTTCGTTCTAAAGCCTGCGGCGCTAGCTTGAGCGGCTAGCTTCGTTCTAAAGCCTGCGACGCTAGCTTGAGCGGCTAGCTTCGTTCTAAAGCCTGCGGCGCTAGCTTGAGCGGCTAGCTTCGTTCTAAAGCCTGCGGCGCTAGCTTGAGCGGCTGGCTTCGTTCTAAAGCCTGCGGCGCTAGCTTGAGCGGCTAGCTTCGTTCTAAAGCCTGCGGCGCTAGCTTGAGCGGCTAGCTTCGTTCTAAAGCCTGCGGCGCTAGCTTGAGCGGTTGGCTTCGTTCTAAAGCCTGCGGCGCTAGCTTGAGCGGCGAGCTTCGTTCTAAAGCCTGCGGCGCTAGCTTGAGCGGCTAGCTTCGTTCTAAAGCCTGCGGCGCTAGCTTGAGCGGCTGGCTTCGTTCTAAAGCCTGCGGCGCTAGCTTGAGCGGCTAGCTTCGTTCTAAAGCCTGCGGCGCTAGCTTGAGCGGCTGGCTTCGTTCTAAAGCCTGCGGCGCTAGCTTGTGATATTAGCTTCATGCTTAAGCCTGCGGAGCAAGCTTGAGCCTCCTTATCCCGCGGCGCAATTTTGAAGGGCTAGCCATGACCTTGGGCCCGCGGCGCTAGCTTGCCCGGGAAACTTCCTTCCGAAGCCTACGGCTCTAGTTTCAGGGGGCGGCCTGAACCTTTAGCCTGCGGCGCTAGTTTCGGCGGCTAGCGTCGTTCCAAAGTCTGCGGCGCTAGCTGAGCAGTTAGCTTGATTCCTTGGCCTGCGGCGCATGCTTGAGCGGGTAGCTTCATTCTATAGGCCGCGGCTTGAGTGACTAACTTCATAATAACGTCCCTACACGGAAATCTACTCCGAAACGCACTTTCCGAGCAAAAAGCAAAACAACTACGATATCCGAGGATCGAACCTCCGATGGTCGGATTAACACGGCGAAGCGCTTACCACTACGCCATGCGATGCTTGGCAGCACGCGTCAAACACCCGTTTTATGCCTCAAGTGGACTGCCCGGGGCAGGGGAAGGAAACGCATCGAGAGGCAGATCCAAAGAGACGACCAAACTCGCGAGTGCAACTGGCAAGAATGAGGAAATTTGTATTTTTTCACATTATGCAAATTAGCCCTCCCGGACCCCCAAAAAACAATAAAACCGGCTTTAACTTTGTAAACTTGTATTTTATCGGGATTCTGAAAGCGCCATCGGAAAGAGGAGGGTCGATTCCCCCGGGTGACGGAGAATCAGGGCATTTTGGACACGGGAAGGCCCTCAAATCGGGCCTCGAACCTGACATCCACACACACACACACACAGAGATACACTCCAAAATTATATAAGGTAGGAAAATAGTGTTTGTGTGTGTGTGTGTGTGTGTGTGTGTGCCACTTTACATCCACTTCCGGATGTCTGTCCGGAGGATATCTCGATAGCAGATGAATTTTAAGGTATGTATGATACGTCATTAGATGCGTAATGGCCTGGAGATGACTGCACGCATATCAGATTTAACAAAATCACCTATTTTCGACATTAAATTTAAGTTTTTGTAAAAACCTCTTTGTTAGGAACAATTAGCGTAGACCGGAAGTGGGGATTGGACTACATAAAGGGGCTCAACAGGTAGTTTTTCATTTTTTTGTCATCTGAATTCAAGATGCAAAGTGAAGGATAAAACGGGGTCAGACGGGGCCAGGGTTGAAAAGTCGCGAAGCGGCTTTTCAACCCTGGTTCTTCGTTTAAACTTGAGACTAGGGATCAAGATTTTTTTCGGCAACTCTTTTTCTCTGCAGGTACTAAAAATAAATTGACCGATTGGAGGAGGCTATTTTTGAGCTCTCCTCGCCGCCTGATTGGTCAACCGGAAATGGGAATTATTTGGGTATTAGAAAGTGGCAAAAATTGGGAAATTAAAAATGCACAGCCAAATCTTGATTGATTCTGCAAAAAAAGTGGATTGTAGCCCGTAAATCAGAGGCCACAACTCATCAGTAAATCGTGAATTTATAACGCAGTACTTTTCGAGGCAACCAAGAATTAAGAGTTTTAGCTTTGTTAAAAACTGAAGCTACTTTTAAAATTTCTAAAAAACCTTTTGAATTTTTAAAAACACGTTTAAAATTTAAAGCGTTATAAATCGCGCTTTCCTCGGCTGGAAAAAACTTGCCAATTTGTGCACCGCGCGGAACGTGTTGACGTAGGCGGCACCACCTAGGAGACCCTCGTAGAAGATGGCGATGAAGAGGAGCGAGATGTGGGGGACGGTGTGCAGCCACGCGTCGCCCGTGAACAGCGTCGCGTTCAGCAACTGAAAAAAAGATTTTAAAGTCGGAATTTTTTCGAAAGACCTAGCTATTTTGAAAAAAACTCTGCAATTGGCATAGAATTTCCGTTCCTTGCCCCAGTTACCGTATCCAATTACCAGATCCCCAAAACACGATTCAAGCTACTTTACTCCAACCATAATTACTATATTGAACAGAAACTGCATTTGCAAAATCCTTTTTTCTAGAAAAAAAGTCAGGTACAGTTTATATTCTTCTTCCGACTACCGTATTCCCCGCGGTAACCCGAAAAACCCAATTCCAGCCCGTTTGACCCCAGAGTTATTCCAAAACTATCAGGTGATATCGCTGGAGAAGAACAACAAGCTAAAGAAAAGAATGTGCCGCAGCTGCTGCGCGCCAGTTCCCGGTAATATCGGCGCCATGTTTTTTGCTCGAATGGACGGCTCTGATGATGGATGGTGGGTTATTTGCGCGCCAATGAAAGGCTTCGGGCTTCCGGCCAAGTCGGTGGTAGGTCAGGCGGGATGAAAATTTCCGGGGGAAACTGATGAAATTCTGGGGTGGGATTGCAGGGATTTGAAGCTTTACGGGGGCTACGGTAGAGGGCCAAGGTTTCTCTGACGGTACTTATTTATCGCACTCTCTTTCTCTCAAGCTCTCTGACTGGCGCTCACTTATTCAAATTCTTTCCTTTCTTGCGCGCGCGCTCTCTCTCTCTCGCACTCTCGCACTCTCTCACCCAAACTCTCTGTATCTCGCACACTATCACTCTCAGTCTCTCACTCTCTCTCTCTCTCTCTCGCTCTTTTCTCTATCTAATAGATGAATTGCATTAATGCCCCGATCTCTATCAAAGAACTTCTCGAGGACGTGCCGAGCCCGAACATCAGCCACCACCTCCAGCACATGACCACCATGGGTAGGCTATGTCGATTCGGATTCTTTGTATATCCCATCAATCATAATCCAGCCCGTGGAATTCGGAGCGTGGGTGGTGATGATGGTAGCCAGAAGAGTGAGGGGGTAGAGAGCGTGGGTCTGTCTGTGTGAATGTCTAATGTTTTGACACGGTCGCCGAGTGCGGAATGTGTGGAATGCCCTCCCGCATCACCCGTCCCACACTGCCCACCCGCAGGCGGTGAAGCCTAAGCGGAAACGGTCCTAATCAGTGGTCATCCCCGCAGTGTGTCACTATGAACTTGCCGGGATCGAGGGACCGGCTTTTAACGGGGATGGAAAGGTAAGATGTCGGTATTTTTGCTGATATTGGAAAAGTAGATGTAGCCGATTAGGGTGGCTTACCAGAAATCGCCCCGAGTGGCCGAAATACAGTACCCTCTATGAATATAGGTCCCGCAAGGATCGTCAAGGTCCACGAAATGGCTCAAATTAATGAATCGCTGATTTATTTTTCGCTTTAAAGGGACTCGGAAGCTCCAGAATCGACCCACTTTCTCAGATTATACATCGACGATCGACGACACTCCAAAATACGAGTATTCCGATAGGGCTCTGCCAGCAAAGGTAGCACTTTTTGGCGATACCCAGCGAAAAAGGGGGTATATTGTGGAAATTCTGGTCCCTTTAAAACGACAAGGAAGGTATGTTCTTTTGAAAATCGCAAAAATTTATGCCCGAATACAGTAACGTTCCGGAAAGCCCAGACAAAAACTTTAAAAATGAAATCCTTACCCCATAATGCCAACTATAAACTTAATTAAATTAAACCATGTCAGGGTACTCCATATCTCTCGTATCGCGTCAGAATCCCTCACCCGTCACTTCCGGTTCCAAACCATTCAAATACCTCAATCTGACGTAACCGCCCAATTACCAAATCTACTCCCTACGTGGCCGTTCGTTCGTGCCCTTATTTCACTCCCCGCTAGCCTCATATTGCAGGTGATGTTGTTTTACACTAAAAACCAGCTACCGCTACCGTAACTCAGCGATTGCAAGCATTCCAGCCACTGCAGAGGCCAGTGGAAAGGGAGAAGGAGATGGCGAGTGGGCGAGAGAAAACGAGAATTGGAAAATCGCACCCTCGCTAGATGATCTATCATTTCCGGCGCGAATCGCTTGTTTAGTGCATAATAATAGGCAACGTAATGGGATCAAAAACGAGAGAATGACCTTAAAGGGATAGGGGCGGCATAAGTCAATCGATTACGCGAGGGAAAGAAAATGTCTCTGCGCCTCTCCCCTGGGCGCGCTCTCTCCCCTGTTGGCTACTTGCCAATTTGTTGATGAGGGGGGATCGACACATGCCGTCGGCAGCCCTTTAAAAAAGGGAAGTGAAGAAGGAAAATTAACCTGGCGCAATTATTCAAGAA